TCGAACCCAGTACCGTTCGCTTTAAATGCTGCCACGTTATCCACTTAGCTACTGAGTTCTGGTAGCCACTTGCTTGTGCAATTGGATGAAGTTTAAATTCACTTAGATAGGATCTTCAAGATGCAGGTGCATCAGCTGACGGGTCCAATATAGGACGAAACGCGCGTCCGGGATTCCACTGCTAGCCACCATCCATCTTTGCAAATAAATATGAAGTTCAGCTGTAAGGCCAATATAATAGTCTCAACAATAGTATTTGAACTGACCTAAGAAACAATAACATAATCTTGTTGCATTAAGTATTTGTTGTATGAGCTATGCTATGCGTTATGCCATTATTTCATTAGATATACACCTTTGGATTATAAATTCATGAATGAAGTTTTTCTCGATACACTCAGTGATTTCACATTTAATCTGATCGTAGTCATAATTTTTGATTAGCAGATTCGATGGATATCGATTTTTACTTAGTAGATCATTGATAAATTAACCAATTAATCCATGAGATAACTCAATCATCAATGAAGAAGATTTATAGCTCAGATAGATGATTTTTACGAAGTTTTTGTTCTCTGAGCTGGATAATTTGGTTGTAGAATTTTCATCGTTCTCTTCTGAACGATATCATCAGTATAAACTTTAAGTAGAAGTGGAATGTTCAAATTTCTCCACATATTGTTCACAACTTGTCCTATAGACCTCGATATTGATTGGTTATGGTTGACATTTAACCTTTTATTGTTCACTTTTTTTGTTTTGATTGTATCTTCCATTGGCTAGATTTTTGTTCCTATGTCGCCTGGCGTGAGACTGATAGGTCCGGCGTTCGAATCTCGTGGGGTGCGGGATCGTGGATGAGCACTGTTGAGGAGTCCCATACTAGGACGAAACGGCCGTCCAGTGCTTCCAGGTTTTCCATGGTGGTCTAGCTTCAATTGACTCATGATTTCAATCTGTGAAATTTCTAAAATCTCCACAAAACCTGACAGACATAGGAATGTATAGATAAACTCAATTATCTAGGGATAAAATGTTCTCCATTTGTTTTTTATTGAATTCGCTAGCATATATCATCATTATTTCTTACTATGTTTGTATACATAAACAATTAATATACAAAATGTTACATTATTTAAGGTATACTGTTAAGAAATATAACTCAAAGTAATTGATACACCGTTAGGAAAAAACAACAGCTGAATAAATGACGTTAACGTGTAACGTTAGTTTTACTATTCACTTAGTTACTATGTACAAAATTAATTCATTTACAAATTATTTTAATCACAAACTAATTGATAATGAGTATAGAAGCTTAAGTAAAGGTTTAAATTGGGAAAAAACCCAGTAGTTAAGTGAATAACGCGATGATGTTTGAAACAAACAGTGCTGAGTTCGAGTCCCAAAGTGAACATCAAGTACGTCCAACTGACGAGTCCCAGATAGAACGAAACGCGTGTCCAGGATTCCACTGGTAGCCACTATTGATTTTTGCATAGAATGCTTGTGAATTAAGGCAATATTGAGGCAATACTCACAGGATACACATATACCAATAAGAGACTGATCAATGATCGTCCTAAATACCAATGAGAAGATTCAAACAAACAAAACTAAGTGAATTTCTATCTGGTTTTAATTCATAAGTACATTAGGGTATGCACTATGAAATTTTTATCTGAGATGGTTAAATATCGTTGAAGAACCCTTCAATATATTAAGTGGTTTTATATAAAAATGTGTGAAAGTAATTGAGTTTCTACTGACATTTGAAAATGAAATTCGATTCTATGTTGAATTAGAAATGAACTGCAAAATGTAAGTCAAACCTTCAGTAAATTTGATCTTTCAGGGTTCTTGATATTCAGTAGTTCTCAGTGTTACATTAAAATGTCAATATGGGTATGGTTCACAAATATAACTAGTTTTTGTTTTGTTGTCTATTGTGAATCAAATATACTTAACGTTTAAAGTATTTGATCACATCAGTAGTTATCACGTCGTTTCGTTTGGTAGCATGTTAACAAGTAACACTAGGACTTAACGTTATTTTCCTACCGTTAACTAAGCATATGATAGATGTCATGACGACTATATATCAATGAAGTGAATCTTATAGACTAAGTCATTGGAATGTAAATGATATGCTATACAACGGTTTGTTGTAATAATGGGGTTGTAAATCCGTTAAAATTCTAGGTAAAATTATGTTTCAATGCCGAGTTAGATAAAACAAAGGTAGTCAGCTTAAAAATGTTGGCCGGATTCCGTAAAAAATGTAACATAAGCTAACTACACCGGAAAATGATTTGCATGATGTTAGGATTACTTAGAATTACAAAAGACAAATTTTATTTGTTCCCAAACCAATGATAAAAAGAATAGGATGTGAAAGCAGAACTATGCAAAACACTCACTCCTTTATAGGAAGAGTTGGACTGTCACTGACAGTGAAATGTAAGACGCGCGTTTCGTTCCATCTGGAACTCATCAATTGGATGTACCAGCATCTTAGAATTGTTTGTTCCGGAATTCGGACTCTGTACTGTTCACTTAAAAACAAAATCACTTCACCCACTTAACTTACTGAACCCAGATAGTTGTTATTAATGAATCTTACTGGTTTCGAAAAAGATTTCATTAAAATTATAAATCAGTGACAATACAATGTTTTTATTATTATATGAAGTTAACTCTTAACATAATCATATCATAACTATGTATGAATCGTACATATGATTTAGACATAAACTGATCTGACCATTCGTGAATACATTTCTATTAAGAACATCATCATATTTCTTGAAAGAATACAATTAAGACTACTACTTACTTATACCTGTTACTCCTTATGGAGGAGCATGAGCCGCCCAACAACACTGTCCATCCAACTCTCTCCTGGGCAGTCTTTTCCAGCTCTTTCCAGTTATTATTCATTCTTTTCATATCTGTTAACCAGAATTAAATACAACTAAAACAATAAACAATAAAAAAATAATAATCACTATGGATGTAAGTGTATGGAATACTGTTTCGATTTTCAAATCCCTGGTGAATGAATTTCAGACAGTATAAGAATTAATTGATAAGTATTAGACTACGTTGTCGGGGACCGCGAGATGATAGCAACCAATGGTTAGGGACCCTGAATGACATGACTCAAAATCGTTTGCAATGGCGCAAGTGCATCCACTCTTTGTGCTCTCCCAAATTCTAATCTTATGAATTCTTTATGTCCCTTTTTCCTCTTTCCCAATTTATTGCACTGGATTATACTCCTTGAATAACATCTTCAAACCCTAATGTTTCTGATTACTGCTTATACTTTTACTACCTCTACCACTACGGGATTTGAGTCGACAACTGCATCTCTGTGCTAATGTGGTATGGCAACTCGAACTGATGTACGTACGTACGAAGTTCTACGTTGTTACTGACTGACTGACTGATAAGTATTAGAGTAGAATACTTTTAGATAAGAAAATGCTTAAAACAATCAATTCAATTGGCTTTAATATTGTATAGTCTATGTATATAATCAGATTGTGTACATAATAGAAAGATTATTTTTGAAGAACCTAACGACTGTTAGTTTAGTTATAGGAATCGTATTCATATGACCACTGAACTGTTAAAACCTGAAACCGTTCACAAATGATCTTTTCTTTATTTTTTATCGACGAATTTCCAAATCTTTCTTCATCCCTTAGATATCGTTGTTAAAAAGATGTATGGATCTGTAGAATGGTTACAGTCGATTAGGTGTTCAAGTATAGAACTCCTGACTGCTTTCCTTTCACCCTTATAGAACCAAGCTGGGATATGTTCCCGTATCCGAGTTGAAAGCGAACATTTCATAGAGAAGAATATGAATAAAAGTAGTTACGGCAAAAAATCTAGTTGTTCCGTCCCGAAGAAAAACCTTTATATAAGTCTGGAATTTAAAGGTGATCGAACATCAGACGTAATCAAAAATCGTCTAACAACAACGATTAGAAGAACGTTAAACGCGGCTAAACTGTGAATAACCTTCACTAGTATAAACTTATTTTCTGTATCCATAAAAGATAAGCTTCCGCGTCCGGTCGCCTCTATGTGCATCTACCAGTTCACCTGCTTTTGTGGAGCAAGGTACATTGGCCGTAGCCAGCGCTCGCTTTTAACTCGGATACGGGAACATATCCCAGCTTGGTTCTTTAAGGGTGAAAGGAAAGCAGTCAGGAGTTCTATACTTGAACACCTAATCGACTGCAACAATTCTACAGATCCACAATTTGATTTTAAGGTTGTTTATATGATTCGTTCAAAACGATGTGTACTATTTTTAGAGCGGTTTATACCTAACTTTCCTTCAATTTGTAGGAATATAGTACTGACAGAAAGAATAATTATCCTTAGGAAATATCCTACTTCAACCACATCCTGGTGTAGCTAACAAAAGAACTGAGTTTTTGAACGTCAGATTTTATGGAACACCAGTTAACAAGCTTTGTATACTCTAATTTTTATGTATATAATTGTTGATTAAGATAATGAGTTGGTCAGTGTTATACCACCATTTAAAAAATGGAAGCACTGGATAGCTGTTTCTTCTTAGTATAAGTCTCCTCAACGGTGTGCATCCAAGATCTCACACCTTGGGCTCGAACTCAAGACTTTCGGTCTGACGTGAGAATCTTTAACCTAACGACCACTGAGTCGGCATTCAATGGTGTTAATGTCTTCAACACATTCACGAAACTGGGCAACTATATTAGGAGGAAACGGCTGGCCGATGCCTCCAGGTTTTCAATGGTGGTCTAATACTGATCGGTTCATGGTCTTAATCAGTATTTCAGCAATCTCCACAACACCATACTGAAAATATATAGTTGTTAAAACCGAGACAGAGAAAATATATGTGTATATGGCGAAAGAGAGAGAAGTTACAAAAGCAACACATAAATTTTGATGAACATTATTATTAATATTGTGATTTTGTTTTTGTTTTTATTCAGGACTTGCTGGTTTAGATCCAAAATCAAGCGGAAAAATTGGCTCATATGCATTGATTTATTATGTAGTAACTACAATGCTTGCAGTTATACTTGGTATTGGTCTAGTTTTATGCATACATCCAGGTGATACATCAATTAAAGATGAAATAGGCGAAGGAACAATAGAGGAACGTAGACCTGAAACATTGGATTCTTTACTGGATTTATTAAGGTTAGTGTTTGAATGAGAAAATATGATGGTTATGTATTGTTGCTGACAATTTTAAACTGGTGAGTATTTCACAGCTTTGGTTAATAGAAAGAGAAAGTTATAAGTCTTGTTTAAGTCATAATGATTATGTTCTCCTGCTTCATCTTGACTTACAGCAGATTTCACTATGGATTAATAAAGAGACCGCTAGTTGTTGATGACTCAGTGAAAAAGTTAGTATTCAGTAGGTTTGCCAATGTTTTAATGTAAATTCAATAACTCATATTTATCGAAGGCGATAATAATAGGCCTTCAACTGATACATTAAGGGTCCTTCTACAGGAAACCAAACGCTGATCTACATCATTTAGTATAGTGTCAGATAATAGTTCATAATCGACAGAAATGGATCGATTCACGATTGTTTAGTCAGCATCAAACATCTCAAATATCCAGTTTTTATGTAAGTTTTCTACTTAAATGCAGTACTCTCGGTTTTCTTTATATGTCATGATGTGGATCTTTACTAGTAAATAACTATACGTAGCCAGTCGTTCTGTTACTTTTCAACAGAATGTTTATGTATTGTAAGATACACTTTTGATTTGTTCAACAATCCTTTTAAAACATGCCTCTTTGCTAAAACTTAGAATGAATTCAAAGCAGTCGATAAACAACTTCAGGGACAAGTTTCATGCCAAATGGAATTCATCATTAAGGCGAGTCTATAATCGTGAAATAAATAATGCTCCTGAGAGATTTGAACCCTTGTCATTCAGTTTCACAGTTATCTATTCGAGTGGCAGTCACTGAGTTGACTCGATTGTATTAGTTAGGTTATATAATATGCCATTATCGAGTCTGACAGATGATCCTTTATGTGATTCGAATAACAATACGGTAACGGCCTGAGCTGTAAATTTTGGTAGCGAGACTTGAAATCTCACAAGAAGCTTTTGTTAACACAAGACTATGGATGGGTTTTGGTGTAGAGTTTCATCTAGCATAAAACCTAGTTTCGACTGCCCCTAACCATACTACATCAGAATGTAGAACAAGGAGTATGAAATCACTGGGACTGTTAGCTATATGACTAAAAACATGTGACAGCAGTTATTAATTAGTGTTTAAACCAATTTAAACATTCCACAATATTTACTCTGACAAAATGGTCGTCTAACACTGATCGGTTCAAAATCTCAATGAAACTAAACAATTTTCACAATCCTTTACTGACAATTATCATATGCACGCCACTGGCTCGATTCTAGTGGTAATTCTCAGTTCCGGTGAGAAACCGAGACCGGTGAAGCTAATCTGTTTTAGCTATGAAGCAGTGGAGAAAATTTGTAGCTCAGGTGGATGATTTTGATGGAGTTTCGTTCTCTGAGCTGAATGGTTTGGTCGTCGAGCTTCCATCGTTCTCTTCTGAACGCCATCATCAGCACAAAGTTCAGATAGAAGTGAAGTGTTCAAATTTCTCCACATATTTCTCACAACTTGTTCTGTAGACCTTGATATTGATTAGTTCTTGTTGACACTTCACTTCTACTTGAAGTTTGTGCTGATGATGTCGTTCCGAAGAACGATGAAAACTTCATGACCAAAAACCATCCAGCTCAAAGAACAAAACTTTATCAAAAGTCGTTGCGTTTGTTAACAGTTGTTATACTACAACATATTTAGTGTTAATTCCAGTTTATGTGATTAGTAATGTTATAATAAAAGTTTATTGTCTAAGAAAGCCATACAGGTGAGACTATAATTTATGAACGACCTTTGGGCGACGCTCGACTGATCTTGATATTGTTCACTTAATAACTAGGACTAAATGAGGGTTATAAATCTGTGTAAGGACTTCGAATTTTTTATTAAAAATTGACGGTTAGGAATTATATTTAAGATTTTTATCACTAACTGACATAAGCTATAATGTCAAAACTCTATTAAGCTAAATGGATTAGTGAATTTCGCGCCAAAATCCAAGACCTATTATCTTATACATGATTGGTTCGTCTATAAATTATAGTCCCGCCACCACACAAATTTTAACCCAGAAATCTTATAGTCTGAATTATTTTTCAATATGTAATTATTATTTAAGATGGAACTTGGAAACAACGTGACGGTTGGCACTATATTAGTAGGGTTTGTAGTTGATGAGTTTCAAAAAAAAAAAGATTTTGTTTATCCATTCCTTTTTTTTTGATTGATTTTCTCAATTAAATGTACTGTACTGACTGACCATATGTCAAGTTCACATCATTGTTCTAGTTTATGGACAGATCAATCTATTCAGTTTTCTTGAGTTACATCTTACCCTCTTACTTATTTGCTTATCAACCTTGACTGTTTTACATAAACGTATGTGCATTTTTTTAACTTACTCATCAGATATCAGTAACTTATTATTGTCTGACTATAAATATTGAGTCACATTTAGTTAAACTGAGTTGGATCACTTACTTTCTCCATTGGGTGTCATTTTGTTTTAATTATCTTTTTCCTATTCGCTTCTTAAGTTCCGTTTCTTTGATTGTTTGTTCAGATTAACGGTTGTATGAAATACACATATTCAAGACTTTATTCTCGTATTTGACTTATTTTAATTCCATTATTTACTGACTTGAGTTAAGTCGATAATTATGTACGAGAATAAGCGACATGTTTATCTCAGTGGCAATCAATCATACGATCAAATAGAGGAGTCAGATATACGGCAACAAAAGTACACAAGAATTAATTATGATGATGATAATAAGACACATTTTTGAGTTCATTGTCATACATTGTTTAAATAGGCTGTAAATGTCTTTGGCACATATTTTTTTATCAGAAGGGGTTTGTGGAGATTTTAGAAATTTTCACAGATTGAAATCATGAGTCAGTTGAAGCTAGACATCCATGGAAAATCTGGAAGCACTGGACGGCCGTTTCGTCCTAGTATGGGACTCCTCAGCAGTACGCATCCACGATCCCGCACCCCGCGGGATCATTGAAAGTGGTAGGGAAAGGAGAGTTTTATAGATTGTTAAGCTTTGAAGTTTGTTTTTGGTTGTTATCTAATCAAAGTTAGTCCGTAATGTAAAAATGATGAATTTTTTTTTACATTTTTAAAAAATTAAATTGATTTATCCCAAGGATAACTATTTGTCCCCATATTCATATATATTATCCCGATGAGAATAGTGGATGGTAACTGTTAGGATCCATTTATGGACTAATACTATACATATATTTTTATTATATTAAGTAGCAAAACAATGCATATTCATTCACTTGGTATTGTTTACTTGAAACTTCCCATTGATGTTTAGAACTGCAGTTGATCGGTCTAGTATATGTATATGTACGTCCTATTCCGATTGCCTCGATATTTCCTTAATTCACAAGTATTATAAGCAGAGATAGATAGTGAAGTGTTTGAAGCGAACGGTATTGGGTTCGAGCCTCACAGTGAACATCAACTCTGAGGTACATCCAACTGATGAGTCCTATCCATAATACAATATAGTTTATATGTTAAACAAATAGCTATTCATTCATTCATTCATCACCGTTACTAGAATTTATATCTATCAACCTTTTTAGATTAGATTAGAGTTTTGTCCAAATACTCTTCAAACATTTTGAAAAACAAACAAAAAACAATAACTTTTAATTAAAATCCGATGAACTTACCAACTTTCTTAAGTATTCATGATATATAGTAATACAATCAACTACTAAATAAGTAGTATCTAAATCTAAAACAAACTTAATTAATATCAAAATAAGAACTGATGGAAATGGATTAAATTCATGATTGGATTTCATTTAGAGCACGTTAGAAAAATCTGTGAAAGTATTGGATAAGTATTTTATCCAAATATATAAGACTTCACAGCTTAACTTAATTAAATTAATTCAACCATATTCTTAACTCGTTTCTCCTTCTTCTTCCTCTTCTTTTTATTTCATCTTAATTCTTTCATTTTAAGTAGCAGTCATTCATTCAATATGACCTAATTTCAAAGAGAAAATAAAATGTCAAAATTCATTTTTTTTATAAACTCAAATAATCGTATTCTACTAAAAAGAAAGGAGAAAGAAAAAAGAGAAAAGAGAAAAAAAAGAAAAGTTTATGGTTTCATTCACCGTTTAAAATCCATCTCATGAAACAAAAAAAATATCGGAAGGGGTTTTGTGAAGATTTTTAGAAATTTTAATAGTTGAAATCATGAGTCGATTGAAACTAGACAACCATGGAGAACCTGAAAGTACTGGATGACCGTTTCGTCTTAGTATGAGACTGTGAAGCCCTTTTATTTTGGTCGTCGTTTAGAGCGAACGATGTTGTCGAAAGGGTTCTCCACTTTAATGGTCCGAGTTCTGACTTTTATTTGATCGTATGAATGATTGTTATTGGAATATATATGTCACCTATCCTCGTATATAATCATCGACTTAAATCGCGTTAGTCGATAACGGAATTAAATAAGTGAAATAACGAAAATGGACTTGTCAATACATATATTTTGTATATGGAGCGAATGGAATAGAGAGAAGAGAAACGACGCGGAGTGGAGATGGCTAGTAAGCCAATTCCTATTTAACCAAGAGTTAATCAATATTTATAGTTACACAAAGTTAAGTAACAGACATGTAATAAGTAATGGGATAAGAAATGTACACACACCTATACACTCATATGAAAACAGTCAAGATTGATAAGCGAATAAATAACAAGGTCAGAATGTGACTCGAGTAGAATGAATAGAATGGGATGTCCGAAAGCTGAAATAAGGCATATAGCCTTAACATAACAACCGACATTACAGGACTGCTCAACAGTGCTCATCCACGATCCCGCTCCCTGTGAGATTTGAATCCAGGATCTATCAGTCTGGCACATGAACGCTTAACCAATAGACCACTGAGATGGCATCCAACTGGCTTCCAGGTTTTCATCGTGGTCTAACTTCAATTGACTCATGATTTCAACTATTGAAACAAATTTTTGATTGAGATCATGAACCGAT